TCAGCAGGCAGCTCTACTATTTCCAGGGGAAGTGTGACTTGCATTGCTTCTTCATCCCCCCGCCCCTTAATTCCAGATGAGTAGCCATAGTCCATAGCAGCAAAATAAAACAGGAGTCCAGTGGCACCTGTCCAGTGGCAGCAACATTTATTCCAGCATAAAGGTAAAGGTTCTCTTGCTCGAAAGCCAGTCGAATCTGACTCTAGGGTTGCGGTGCTCATCTCCGTTTCAAAGCTGAAGAGCCAGCGCTGTCCGAAGACGTTTCCGTGGTCATGTGGCTGGCATGACTAAACACCAAGGCGCACGGAATGCTGTTACCTTCCCACTGAAGTGGTACCTATTTATCTACTTGCAATTTCTTGCTTTTGAACTGCTAGGTTGGCAGGAGCTGGAACTAGAGACGGGAGCTCACTCTGTCATGCGGCACACTCTGGTCTCGAACTGCAGAACTACCGACCTTCCACAGCCTGCAGTTCAGCGTCTTAACCACTTGAGCCACCACAGCTCCTTATTCCAGCATAAGCTTCTATAAATCAGAATTCCCTTCAGCAGTTGCAACCTTTTCTTTTTGTGTATTTTAATGCCTTCAAGAAGTAGGATGCTTAACTCCTTTTTTGTTTTTCTAAGTGGATCAATGGCTGCTGTGTATGGTCATCATAGGTAGATTTGCATATTATTGCTTTGCATTTTATAAGGTTCTGCATTCAGTCCCTGGCATATACAGTTAAAGCATTCTAGGAAGCAGTGCTGGGAAATAGCTTGGTTTGAGCCTTGGGGAACTCCTGCCAGGTGAAAATGCCAGGACAGGATTAGATGGATCAAAGGTTTGGTTCAATATAAGACAGCTTCATAGGTGTGGTTCTGGAACCTCTCACACCAATGAGGAACATTTTTATTATTGGGATATACTCTAGGTGTGTCCTCCTGTTTGATCTACATTTATTATTTATTTATTTATTTTATTCAATTTATTCCCCACTATGCGGGCTCAGGGCGGCTTACAAGAGGCATATGCCAATATAAAACATATTTAAAATCATTTAAAATCATCACAATACAGATAACATTATAACCAATTATTAACAAAGTGCTCTAGATGTTGTTTCACAAGATTGCGTGTTTCACTGCTCTATTGCCACTGCTCTGTTCCTCAGCATCATCTGCTCCAGGGAAACACTGGTGTTCCCTCTTCCAGGGCCAGATAAGATGGAACAATAATGATGGTAGTGGCGGCTCCTACTCATACGCCTGGTGGAAGAGCTCCGTCTTACAGGCCCTGCGGAACTGTACAAGGTCCCTCAGGGCCTGGATCTCCATCGGGAGCTCATTCCACCAGGTAGGAGCCGCCACCGAGAAAGCCCTGGCCCTGGTAGCGGCCAGCCTGGCCTCTTTGGGACCTGGCATTGCCAGGAGATGTTGCGTCCCAGACCGAAGTGCTCGCGGGGGAACATATGAGGAAAGGCGGTCCCTTAGGTAAGCTGGACCCAGACCATATAGGGCATGTATGTGAGAGTGTGCGTACACACACACTGTTAGACAGGGTAGAGCAATGCATTGTATCCTACTACTGATGCACTATAACCAATTTAGTGGGAGATGTGATGACTCTTTGCTAAGACTGCCTGCTGTTAAGAAAAATCATTGTACTGACAAGGATTTATGGACTGAATGTCTGCCAGCAATTTACACTGGTGTGGAATTCTCATGAAAAATCTCCAAGGTAGACTAGGTCTGAGGAAATGCAACTTGCCCCGTGTCAAAGAGGATTTTGTGGACTGTCTTTTCTGGAAGTTTGGTTTGAAGAGAAGTCTGCATGTCTGGTCTTAAACTGTCCCCTAGTGGTACTGGACTCAATGAGTAAATGGATAGCACAATACACCATTCAACTGGAAGTGTAAATGGGAATAGATTAGTAATATCTTAGTACCAAATTTAATTAGTTTCAGAACCACTCCCTTAGCAAGAACAAAGAATGCAAACAAAGTGTATGTGGAATGTCATACCAGTGCTACTGGATTTATTTTGCAAAAAAAAAACCCCATGAAAGCTATTGATGAAGAAAGCAAAACAGAATGATCTAAAATGAAACAGAATAACATAAAGGTGTCATCTCAGTTGCAAACATGGTTTTCACATAATTCGTGCTTGGAAAGGAAGATTATCTAAACATGCTTTTATCCCATTTTGAAATTGTTACGGTTTATAGCCTCAGCTTAACTAGCCCAAACTGCTTTCCAGATGTTTCTGTTCAATTCACCAGCATTTAAGGTAAACACACATTTCCCCCCCTCCCACTATATTTAAACATTAGTATTGTAATGTCCACTGTCCAGGACAAATCTCAGTCACAATCTCAGGCAGGGTTTAATCCAAAATACAATGTTTATTCAATCCAGCTATCACCAGATAACACAACGTGTATTCTCCAAGCAAAATAGAGGACTGATAAACCCACTCTGCTAATGGCCTGCAGGTGGACATAACAACTCCAAGCGATCTTAAAGACACATTACACCACATCTCCCTCTTTGAAAGAAAAAGATAACTTTAAAATCTCTTTGGTTTACGCATAGTACATAACG